GCGGCAGGCTTCCGAAGAGCAGCGGCAGGCTTCCGAAAAGCAGCGGCAGGCTTCCGAAGAGCAGCAGCAGGACGACGATGAATGGTTTGAGCAGGCAATCGTTTCTTGATGACGGAAGACACCTTTGACCTTGTCGTTGCCCTTGCTGAAGAAGAAGACTTGGAAATGCCGCGGACGCTTCCGAGATTGGTTTCGTCAAAGACAACAACATCCCCAGCGGCATTTCCAATGACCATGCTGCCAGCTTTGTCCAGTATCTTCTCAGAACATCTTGATACAGGTTCCTCCATGAAGGCAAAGTGCGGGTCACACCAAAGAGGGTCTCAATGTCGGCTTGGATTTTTGTCCACCCATAGTTCAATCTCATTGCGTTAATGAAGTAGATGAAAGCCACCCAGTTGGAGACATGGACATTGGACAAGACGCCAGCTGGACAGAGCGCAGCTCTGAAGCATTTGTGGCACCTCCAGCGGAAACGAACTTTTTGGTCACCATCCCATTCTTCAGCCAGCTTCACCGTGTGATTCTTCACGTTTGGGCATTTGTGTAGCCAAGGGACCAATCCCAAAGCGCTAGCCACAAGAATGCCACGAAGTGCAACGGTATCAGTCAGATCTTCTTCCAGAATGAGTGGGGGCGCCAGAACTTTCAAAGATAGAGAAGCTTGAGATACAAACCATTCTTCTGACACTGCAGACTTGTACTCCTTGATGGTTAGGGGTTCAAACAGACCAGGGTGATCTGGCTCACGCTGAGCCGGCTTCTTGCACTCTCTGCGGAACATGGTGATAAGACAAGATGAACAAGGAACCAAAATAGCTGCAGATGAATTGGAAATAATATGTTGCTAACTTGCCGCGATGCAATTCTGCTTCAACATGTGCACATGCATGTGTGGAGGCAAGGCTGAAGCAACTTTTTCAGGACAGCGCGCAGCTGCCAAACCCCTCCAGACATATATGACACAAAACTTTGAGGGCGCAAGCATTATGCCCTGCGATGCTCAAAATTCAAAAGTGGCGCCGTCTTAGCTGAGAAGCTCATTCCATGTTGCCAAAATTGAATACATCCTCCTCTTCCTGGAAGTCAGAAGCCACAGCAACAAGATCAGCATGAGCGGCAGAGCAGAGATCGTGTAGGCACCTTCGTCGATGACCATGTACTCGTGGGTGTCCATGTAATGGATATATTTGTCCTTGCCGGCTTCGATGCAGACGTCCATGCCGTAGTGCTCCCCAAGGATGAGACAGGCACAAGAGAGTAAACACTTTTGAGCAGCAATGCTAAGAGAACGCTGACCACATACAGTTTATATACCAGCAGCAAAGTTTATAAACTCATGGTGAACATCAAACAAACAAAGAATCAGGATCACGAGGAAATCATGAAAGCACGAACACGTTAACAAAAGGGTAAAGGGGGGGACAGAGTGCCGCTCTTCAAGGAGAGGGGGGGGGTGCGCCAAATAGTTTTGACATTGTTTCAAAACCTGGAAAGGAAGCCCAACTCCAAAGAGTCCTTGGCCCCCCCCCCCTGCCTTCAACATACCTCAAGACCATCCAAAGAGTCCTCTGCCCCCCCCCTCCCCCCCTCCCTCAACATACCTCAAGACCATAGAAAGAGAGAGAGAGAGAGAGTTGTTGAGTTGTTGGCCACGGGTTTGTTTCAATGCCGTAATGCACTAACAGACAGACAGACAGACAGAAGGGCAGAAGGGAACGCACGGTCAAGGTGTGGTACAAATAATGGAATTCATGTTGCTGCCTCGGTGTTGGAGAAGTGAGGTACAGATGATGGAACTCAGGTCGGTCATCATGTATTAGAGACATTGAAGTTAGTGAGCTACAAGCAGATGAAACGTATCCATGTACCAGAATTGCATGACAGATATGTGTGGCATGACAAACATATCTATATATATATATATGGGCTCGGACTTATCTAAGTATGCGAAGATATGGTTTATAAACTATAAGGCTAGTTTATAAACCATACTTGGAAATATTTATTCTCTTATCTCACAGGGGGCCCCCAAATCGTCACGCCCATATATATATATATATGTATATCGCTAGTATGTTGGAGGCCATCGCTATCTAGTACGTTGGAAGCCATTGCTCTTAGGTTGGAGTCCTTCATATATAGATATATTCGAGGTATTTTTAGGTCCCATTTATCGTTCCTCTCAGTCTAAAGCACAGCGCACTCGAAAAGCGGCCAGGTGGTTCGAGGCCGTTGGCGAAGACCTTTCTGCCGTTTCCCTTGGGTCCAGGCAGTTCGAGCAGTATCCCGCTCCAAAGTTCAATCGGTTAGGGTATTTGGCCTGGGCATCTATGCACACTTCACTTGACTCTTGTATACTCTGGTGGATTCGGAACCTCGAAAAGCCGGTTTAAGTCTGTGGCTCTCAAACCAAACAAACTCAGCTACCGGTCCAGGCTGGGTCGTCAGGGATGGAATCGGTTTTTTCTCCCGTCAGGCTTTGCAGGTCTTGTTTCGATGAAACCTGCGAGACTGACGTTCCTTGAAATCGTGGTGAAATGATTTGTGAAAACAAAACAAGAGTTTGTCAAAGGTTTCTCCGAAACAACTTCTCAAACCAATTGTTGGAATTCTCCGTGTTGTCCACGCACTCAGTTGACAAGCGAGCATCGTTGCGTTGCCGCAAGAGTGGCCAAAAGCGCTCACGGAGGCCCCTTCTATCCGGGATCAGCACCGCGCCTTTGCGGAGTTACCAATTTGCACAAAGCGTCTGGACTGGAGGAGAAGCTTCGATTCTTCATTCAGTAAGATGCTATTTGAGATGGTTTGATCCTGTCAGCCTGCGACTGCGACCCAGAATAAGACAGCAAAGAAAGAGCCGGAGATTTGCCCGTCGGTGTTTGTTGCTTGTATGTTACAATGTTGCATGACATGCCCTGAACAGGAGGCCCGGGAGGAAGTGGAGCGGCACAAGGCAGAGGTACGCGTCCTACTCACAAAGAAACAAACCGCAAGAGAAAGAAGGCTTCATTTTGTAGAGACCAAGGCTTTGCATGGATTTCTACTTGATACTAGTAACAAGAAGCTACTAGGTGGAGGCCATCGCTACTAGTAAGAAGAATATCTTTGTTTTCAATTTATTTTCATGTATTTTCACCTTACGTAATCTCTTGGCCAGGCATCTGGGCTAAGTCCCAGCAGCATTGACACGCGACAGGACACGATCAGCGGGAGGTCCGCGGGCCGGAGCCGGGCGAAACGCTTGCGGCGATGAGTTAGTTGGAGGGTTGGTACGCTTACACATATTACACCTACACCTTGCAAGAGCTCCAGGGGACATGAACAATGCCGAATTGATGCAAGTTCCTCATCTTTGCGCTGGCCAAAAAAGCAATATTAAAATGTGGGTATGACTATCCTCTTTACGGCCATCCGGTGGTGCCAACAGGATTTTGTCAATGACAATGACAAATGACGTATCTATAAGAAAACAACATGTTCATGCAAAACAATGCCACAAACATGGCGTGATTCATGAAAATGACATGGCGCTGTTTCACATGAGGTTTTCGTCCGAGCTTTGGAGGCTGACGTCAAACTCAAGGTCTCCAGACTCCTTCGAAGCCCTATCTCAACCATGGGCCTTCAGAGAAGGCGCAACAGGGCGGTCTTCGTGTATATGAGTTAATTGCTATATGAATTATGAATTGTGCTTTTTAAAAATGCTAGATTGCTACAGCGGCCATCCTGTTTTGGGACTCCAAGATTGCTCACAGTGGAATGGTCTCTCAAGCATACTCAAACATTCTAAGTCGACGGTGTCTTTGAATTCCATGCAGCTTTCTTTTGCGCGAAGAATGCCCATCGAAGGAACATGCAATTGCCTTAGAATGTGTGTTGATTGATGTAGCCTTTGCCTTTGTTCCAAAACAGAGGGACCGGACGACGTGGGACGGGACGGCTGTCGGTGAGCAGTCCGAGACGTCCAGGCGACGAAGTCGAGGTGTGGAGCATGTCGCAACATGCCTGGGTTCCGGGCGTTGTCCAGGCGACCAAACGACACCCGAAGGGCGACACACCGAAGACGCGAGATTGACAAATGGAGCTACGATAGGACAGAATCTGAGGAGGTTAAAGAGGTGTATGTGCTTTTGACATGTTTTGACTGTGCAACGTTCACCACTGGGAAACCATGGTGAGTGCATGCCTTTTGCAGTGACGAGAGGCCGTCTTCGCACAGAACAGCATTGCGGACGGATACCAAGTGCCCGCGGGTACGTTGAAAATCTCCATCCCAAGAGGAGCTGTGGGACCCTTCAAACGCTGTTGAGATCTCGATGTCAATTGACCCAATTGAGACCCACTCGTGAAGGACCCAAACTTGGAAGATTTCTCGGTTGTGGAAGTGGTGTCCTTCGGAATTTCAAGTCAAGTCTTGTGAAAACTGTTCTTTGATATTGTACTTATTATATAGCTGGTCTATTTGATATTTCTTGCTTCAATAACTTTGGTCGAGTCAAGAGCGAGGGTTCTTGTTGTACGTTCGAGAGAAATGGCTTCAAGACAGAACTAGTGCAGTTTGGAATATGCTGGAACATTGTGAAATAGTGATTCAGTGTGTGCGGAAGGGTTCACCGTGCGACTTTCCGCATCGCAGGATATAAGTGGATACCCCAAGATTTAATCGGTTCCAACGTCCGAAGAGTGACTTGGTTAGAGATTTGTCGGATGTGTTTGATGGGATCAGCCTATGAGAGTGTGGACAAATGACAACACACGGCACATGCATGTATTTCTTGTGATAAAGGAGATTTAGGCATTGCGGTTGTTGCCCAGAGATGTTGATGCATTTGTCAAAGTGGAAGGCTGAAGCAACTGATTCTTTGAGGCGATGGTGCCAACCTCTAGCATTGCCGAGCAATGCAAGGAGATTGCCAACCAGGCGATGGAATTGTGCCAATCACCAGGGTGTGGCACCGGATGACTTCAACTCGAGTGAGATTGAAATGGCATGAAAAGGACATGGTATGTGTATCACTGATGCCAGCAAGCGCATCCAACTCATCCCTGCTGGTTCTATGCAAATGGACTCAGATGTACTGGCATGGTGTTACTGGGTCCCTCCCCCTAAGGCGTATCTCCTAGCAACAAGGCGTATTGTAGCAGAAGAAGTGAGGCCTCCAGGTCTTTTGCTTGGAGGTTGTTCTATTCACATTCAACCTCCTCAGGTGGAGGTCTTTTTTGCTCACTCCATTCAGTGCTTTGTCAGGGTCGAGTGCTTTTGAGCGTCTCTTTGGTGGAAGAGCCTGACGACCAGCATCCCCCCAGGCGTGTGATGCGAAAGTCGCTGCATCATTTCGGCAGATGGTTCGGTCATGAATTGAGAGCTAAAAGCTGTGGAGTAGATGAAACTGAACAAAGTTTGCTTAGTTTGTTTGCAAAGAAAAGGAGGAATTTTAAGTTGCTTGCATGTGGTCGCGTGGTCGCAGCCGGCGTCGCCAGCGAATCCTTGCTCCAGGTGTAGCCAGTCTCCAGGCAGCGAGATTTCTGACCGCTGCATACGACGCTTGGCAACGGTGGAACCAAGTGGAACGAGGTCGCTCGGTCCAGGTTTCTTCGTGGCGCAGTTGAACCTCACCAGCCGCTCGGGGTGTGTTCTGATGGGCAAATCATGCTTTTCACTGGTCGTGTTTCTTCAGGAAAGCAACTGACCCAGGTCTTAGGTTCACATATCA